CAGGGGTTACAGCCAAACAGACAGGTAAGAAAATACTTCTGATATTTCTCAGAAACAGCTTTTAGAAACCACAGTTTTTACAGCTCCCCATAGAAAAGATGGGTTTGGGCACAGGCCATGGCCCAGGTCTTCCGCTAGTAGAAACGCTTGTTCCGCTCTTGGCGTTTCTGGAAGACCACAGCTCCCACCACAGCACAGACAATGATGCCCAGCAGTGCGCAGAGCAGGAGCAGGAACACCTTCCAGCCTGTCAGAGGCCCGCTTCGGAAATTCCCTGTTGGGTCATCCACATTGTCTGCAAGGATAAAAACAGCTATAGAGACTGACCCAACCTTGGCTCCTGCAGAGTCTCACAGGGTGTCATAGCTCTGACGCCTTTCAACAGGCTTTTAAGAGTCCAGCCCCGACATCCCAATCCTCCTCCAAAGGTTTCCAAAGCCCAGACACTCACCTTTGGGTGATTTAAGGAGGCTGACGCTAGGCTCAATCTTGGTCCAGTCAACAGTGTCATCTTCTAGAGGGTGCTCCACCATGAGCTGGAATAGCTTCATCGAGATAATGTCGTGATTGTCTAGGAAACAACCATCAGCACCAAACACTGTCAGAAGCTCCAAGAGACGTCCTTGCACTCAGAGCACACCTAGGACCGTGCTCTGCCAGGTTGAGGTCTCCTTCCGTCTCATGCCACCCTCACACCCCACGTATCAAACTGCAATTTGAGATGGTCCTTAGCTCTCAGATGCCTCCTTTCCCAGACCACAGGTCCCTACCCAAAAGGGTTTCAAGAGCCCGGCAAACAATTCAGGGAAAGGAAGCCATCGAAGCCATCCAACGCATCCACAATGTTATAGTCCAGGCTCCAAACAGCACGTGTTCCTGTGAGCAAAGCCCCCCTCTCACCAGACAAATCTCCAGTGCCAGCAGAAGCACCAAAGAAGTAGCCGGTTGGCAGCTGCACCCCTGCAATGTCAATACAGTTCTTCCATTCGTTCTTGTCTTCCACATCGGTCATCACCTGCAAGACCAGGTGAGTGTCACACCAGGAACGCACATCACTATCATGCCCGCCTGCAGCTCTTTTGGAGCCAGAGGTGCAGGAGAGACAGGTGGTTGTGCCTGGAAAATGATCTCCAGGTCACCTACAGCAACGCCCACCCCTCTGCACTGCCCCATCTAATGTCCATGGGACACCCTGCAGAAGGTGTCTGACACATCTTACCGTCAGGCGACCTCGGGAGTACCGAATTGCCAGGAAAGTGTCGTGGTTCTGGTTCCGAAGGTCAGCAGGGCACCCCGCCAGCTCCGTCCAGCGCCCGTCCTTACTGTGGTCGTATGTCAGGGAGCCGTTATTTACCATCGCAGAGATATAAGGGAACATACGCTGCAGGAAGAAGAGCGCTGCTGCTTTCAGTCTGCAGGAGCCTTCGAGCAAGAGCCACCTTCCTCTGCCTGGTCAGAAACCTCAGCGAGAGCAGGATCTCAGCCAGGCACAGTAATAGAGCCACAGCTCTGCTGGACAGTCAGGTACGGAGGGCAGAACAACGAAATCAAAGCTCCTTTTCTACATAAAGCCGCTTCTAAACTGGGCAAGAGCTTGTTTTGGCTAAAGCAGAGCTGCCATTTCTGACCTTTTGGATCAAGACCCCCCCATAAACCTACACCGTACTGCGTGGCCAGGGCAATGAGACTGCCCCAAACTTGCAGAGTAAGAACCAGACGGGGTAAGAAGTGTAAGACCAGAGCACAGGACCCAGAACGGGCAGAAATCTCACATAAGCAGCATAACCATACTTCGGGCTTTGTAGTCAGTAGATTACATACACCAGGAGAGGCCAACTGGAGGCAAGAACTCACCTCCCAGCGAGCATCAAGACAACAGGGAGATGGGACATTTCCAGGTGCTTTATGACATAAGTATCACCGGTTTGGTGCAATAGATCTCACTAGCACAGTTACGTTTTCTGACTGTGCCGTAATGAGATCCACAAACACCGAGCAGGACAGAAGAAAAGGACCACCAGCCCCCACAGGACTGATCTCTATTTCAGCCACAGGGAATTCTGGAGCAAAAAGCCAGCCCAGGAATTTATTTTTTAGAGACACTCAGGTTGCAAACAGAGAATAATGCCAGAAACAACATGGAATGAGCAACCAAAGCACAGAGAAGTTCAAGAAGTCACACTTGGGATGAGCATACTCTCAGGCTGATTCCTCTAACTTTACTTAACAGGCGGTGCATAGTTTACACTAGCCCCATGCTGCCCTCTCATGCAGAGGGGGAAAGGCCTTGGAAACATCTGTGTAGTCAGCAACAGCAGAAATGGAATGAGAACCTTGTTATCTCTATTAATGCACGTACAAACTCTTCCCTTTACCACCTCCCATGACAGGAAGAGCAGCCCACTCTCACATAAGGAGAGACTTTTCCTTGGTCTGGGTGTGAAGCACTCAGAGCATGAAGCCATGAGGGAACAGCATCCTCAGCACCAAACGAGCTCCCTAAACTCACCTCTGTCGCTTCATCGTTGGGATATGTATCAAGGAAAATCGCCAGTCCGTGAAACTTGTCCTTGCTGCCAAAGACAGGACCTGGAACAGGGCAGAACATTGGAAACAGAAGACTCTCAGAGAAAATTTGTGCTTAGAGACTTCTACTGAAAAGAGCTGTTTATTGCCAGGCAGGTGACTGAGAGCACCCGTTCCCAGGGCAGAATGCGCAGGACACACGCCATCCCGATCTAGCAAAACCGGTCAGAGGGGAGCTCAAACACCCTCATTGGCATGAAACCTTCCCAGGACAGGGGCAGTTCCCTGGGCTGCCCCAGGGTACATGTGAGTGCAGAGAAGGCCTCAGCCCAGGCAGGCGGCCCCCGGCTGCCCACCGTACCTGACACCAAGCGCTCCTGCGTGTACCACAGCGCCAGGCCGTCCCCATGCAGGTTCTTCTTGCCAGCTCCGTGGATCTTGAAGTGGACATGGAGCTCCCAGTCCTTGAGGAAGCAGGGCTGTGCGGAGAGACCGCCCAGCGGCGTCAGGGCAAAAGCCGGGAAAGGCGATGGGGCCGCC